GCTCTCAAGATGACAGTTATGCAGGACTATATAAAAAATATATTAGATGAACCCTTATTTAAAGGTCATTGCAGATTTCTATGAAACAGTACCAATCTTATGTTGGGTTATACACATATTTTTTCCCCATATATGTGTGTGTGTATGTGTATACAAGACAGGGAGGAAGTAATATAAAGTCAACAGAAAATGGAAATATACTTTTTAAAGTTTCTAATACTAGGAGATGATATCATACAATGTCTTTTAAATAAATTGTAAGTCAAAGATACAGTATAAATCTTAGAACAAAAATTGAGATTAAGCAGTATTCAGAAAATTAAATGTTTCAAAACAATTGAACTAAGAAAAAGTTTTCATGATAGCAAAGAAGTACTAAGAGTAAAACATAAGAAATACTGGAATGACAAGTAAATGACCAGCACTTCTAACAGTTTGAGGACAGGATATCGCACAAAGTTCTAGTGTGTTGTGGACTTGCATAATGACCGTGACAGTTACTGGTGGCTAGGCGTCCCTTGTGGACTGAGCTACAGCTATTTCTTTTGAAATCCACCCTGTACACAGGTGGAATCATGACCCAGAGGGTGGAAGAGAAGTCCGTTTGTAGAGTGTGCTAATGAAAATATTCTGCTGCTGAACACAAAAAGAGTAACTGAAAGACTACTATCGTATACCTTTTATTCTCCTCTGTTTAATTGTTTGCCCTATTTGGCAGGTTCTTTCCATTCTCATTCATGGGGTTGTGATCACTTTGCTCCCTCTCTAGAACATCATTTAATAGTCTGTAGGCTTTGCTTTGTCATCATGAAATTCTTTAGTTGTTCTTTGTCATGGAAGTACTTCACTTCTCCATTATATTTGAGAGTTTTGCAGGATATATCAGTCTGGGTTGGAATTTGTTTTCTTGCAAGACGAAGTACTTCGCTCCATGTTCTTTTTTTTTTTTTTTTTTTTTAATAATGACTGCTTATGTGTTTATTAGCTGTTTAAGGTACTTCAAAACTTTAGGAGACTCATGTCTGCTAAATTAATACCCACCATTTAAAATTTCCCAGAGAATTTACTTAGCCAGTTTTGAAACTAATGTTTTGGTGTTCATGAAAAATCAGGTTCCTAAGTTGTATTTTTTCTGCATTTCATGAAATGAACATTAAACAAAGTATCTGTAATTTTGAGTAATCTTTATGTCTTAAAGTCCTTAAGACAAGGAATTAACTATGGTATAAAAGCATAATTCAGAAGAGAAAAATCTATAATAATGACTCCTGCTAGAATCCAAAGGAAGAAGTGATTTATTTGGCACCAGGAATCAAACTCAGGACCTTGTGCTAGCCAGGCAGGCACCTGTGCTGCTGAGCTGCATCCCTGGCCCTCCATGTTCTTCTTGACTTGATGGTTTGTGAAGAAAAATCTGCTGTTATTCTGATGGGTTTTCCTTTAAATGTGATCTGTTTCTTTTCTTTAGCGGCTTTTAGTATACCGTTCCTATGCTGAATTTCTGGAATCTTGATTATTA